TAAGTTATTTCTTAATGAATGTACAAGAAACAGCATAAATATTACCATTGCGCTGAGTGGATGTGAACATCCAAAGCAAGTTAGCTGGCTGGCTGACTGCTTTTTCATTTTTTGTTCTTTTGTAACAATTCCATTTCCAAAGTGTTTGATTCCTAACACTGATGCTCCAAAGCTTTTGTGAGCACACTGCCTGAATACTTAATGAGATAAACAATAAACAAAATGGCTCGTCTCTGGTGCCCCCAGCTAGCATCCCAAACTGGATATAATTAAAGGTGTGAACAAGCAAGCAAGGAAGTAATGAATCTGCAAAGTCAAGGTTCTGAGAAATTATCTGGCAACCGGAACGACACCAGTTCAAATTTATCGCTCATTAGCTCTTATAACGGCAAGGTGCAGACCCACATGGTGGTACCCCTCTCCACTCTTGTCCTCCAGCCTTTTTTCTTTCCATTTCTAGATGGCTAATTTATGACAATTACTGCTGTGACAACTCCCACCCACCTAACCACCCACAGATCACCTTTCATTTTACCCTTAGATAGCTGCTGACCTATAAAAGCCTTATACCCTTAAAATACGCTGAGATTTTAAAAATACAAAGATGTTCTCAACACACACACACACGCCCCACAAACTCACAAAACAAAGCATGAGATGTTAACGCAGCCACCCATCTTCTCCTTGTTTTTTTTATTTTATTTTATTTTACTTTATTTTTTTTTACCAATGGTTAAAGATTAGGTTCAAATGCTCCAAAGCAAAAACAACTCTCCTTCCATATACTCACACGTTTTCATTCGAATCCAACCCATGATTAAAAGGGCAACTACTAGCTCTCAAATATGATTATAGATTTGAACGTTTATAGTCTTCAAGTGGCAACAATAGAAAAATGTTTGGTTAGTAACAGAAGTCTATGGGGTCTGGATAAATCTTTTTGAGGAAGTTTTGCCTTTTTCTAATAAGATAGCTCTTAGAGTTTGTGAGGAGAGGAAGCCTCTTCTTAAGGGGAGCCAGCCCAGTTAGGTTTTATTCCCACTTTTGGATGTATATATACTTGCATGTATGTATATACACATTTGGTTATACCAAATAAGAAAAGCTTAAGACAGGTGCAGGATTCTAGAAACATACATGCTTACCCTGATACACACACAGTGTCTCTCTCATACGTATACTTTCTGCATGTCTCTCAAACGGATGGGAGAATGGATAGTGGCAATAAAATGTTGACCGATTACAAAAGGGGAATAGGCCAATTCTGTATGATATGGCCCATCGACTGGGAAACAGTAAGATAAAAGCCTGAGAATGTTTATGTCCCTTCATACCCCCCAAATTCTCAATGACATTGGGGAAAAATACTGCATTGCAGCATTTGCCAGCGCACCCTCATATGTCTAGCATCCACTGGCCATGTCACCAACAAATGTACATATTAAGTGTCCAGGCACATAAATAAGTGCTTGGTGGCCACAGATCATTGGGCCCGAGGAAGAAATTTGTCAAGGCCAAAGTACTTCTGTCCATGCACAATGACCTCTATCAAGACCACCATTCCTTACTGGTGGTACACACAGATAATTTATTTAATTTTTAAAATTAAAATAAAGCATTAAGATGCAAAGGACTAATTGAAGCAGCATATCTCCTTATGGGCGGAATAGCATTTAGTCTCCATACAGGAAGAGAATACACCCACAATAAGGAAATAGTGCAAAGGGAAAATATAAAAACCAAAGAAAAGGACTTGCCTGGAGGAAACCCTTTCATTGTTCACAGTAACTCTTAACTGAGAAAAAACCCTTAATTTACCCTCAAATTCTTTCAGAAATATTGAACACACACACAACACAATGTTCATGCAATGACTTCTAGATTTGAAATTTCAAATAGATTACCCCCAATAGAAATGCTAAGTTTAAAATATCTGAAGTCTAACATGTCCCGAACCCTATTACAAGACTGAATTTAGAAATAAAATGCAAATGCATAGCTCATTTTCTGTTTTTTTCTTTAACAAAATATACTATTGTTATTACCTCACAACAATCTGGCCTTCCTCTCATAACAAAATCCTTGAATATTCAAAGGACCAAAGAAGTGTTATAGGGAGAGAAAAAAGTTTGAAGGTTTTGGAAAACTGTCAAACAAAAACAAGCTCATCTATATTCGGTCAGGAGGATGACTTGAATGAATGGCAGTTAGGAATGAATGGGACTGAGATCAGAAATGAACGGTTAAGGTTTGTTAGGTTTTTTTATTTTAGTTTTTTTTTTAAATTAAAATTGCTTTGTGAATCAATAATTCTCAAAGGAATTTTTCAGCTATTTCCCCACCTATATTCATTTCACCCTTTCAAAATTTAAATATTAAATGACTTAGCTATTATTTACAATGAGGTATACGGACATTCTGATCATTAAAACTGTGATGAAAAGGTGTTTTTTGCAGAAACATTTCCAATCAGATTTTCATTTCTCAATAAATGCACACTCACTGAAGTCAAGGCGCACCTCCACATGCAGGTAGCAGGCATTAATATTTTTTAAGACAAAGAAGTGGAAAAGGTCAGCAGTAGAACCACGTGTCTTTTTGACAACCCAAGCTTAGGGGACAGTGCCGATAGGCATTACTTTACCCTAACTAAAAAATACTGAAAAATTCTCAGAAAAAATCTGTATTAGAGATAATAAAAACAATTCTATTTTTAATAGCGCCATGTTCACACACTCAAAATATGAGAGCAAGGTTCAAGTAAATGACAAAAATATTTTTATTTATGTTTACCCCAAGAGTCAAAACAAATTTTAATAAAAAATCTCCCACTAAGAAGATATAAAAAAAAGAAGCACTGGCAAGGAATAAAGAATTGGGGTCGGAGGAGTGTGCGGAGTTTTGCAATGGAGAGAGTAAAAAATTAAGAATACTTTCAATAAAGCCAATTATATTTCTTAACCTTTTACTACATTTCAGTATTTTTTAATCTCTCCTTTTTGGACTGAAAATTAGCTACCTGATCCTGTATCAAGTTTGTCTACGGGGAAGAAATCGTGACAGATCATGGTTTCAGTTGCTTTTACGTTACATCCTATTCGCCTGAGTACTATACCTTTCAGTCCTTCTGGTACCCACCATCATGAGAAAAACAGACTACTAGTAAAGCACACTTCAAGAAAAAGCGAGAGATGCCTGTCACCAGCACACACATGGGTCCCAGACATTTAGAGACACGGAAAAAAAATCAGCTTTTCACTCAGTTTATGCCAAGATCAGAATCGCAACCAAATGCCCAACAGAAGGCAGTGGTTGCAAGGGCAGCTTATGGATCTGTGGCTGGAGATAGAGAGGGAGGCACAGCAAAAGGCTAGAATACAGTTTTTCATTTATTATTTTTAAAAGTAAAATGAGAGATACAGTGAACTCCTTGGAACTGTAGTATCAATATCTGATTTAGTCAAAATACCACTCTCACCTAGCACAAAATCATTGTTTAGGGTAAACCTATTCTACCTATGGATGGATATTTGCTGGAAATTTTTAAGAAATCATTTTCAGAACCTATCAGCTGTGGGAGTTTATTATGCTTCCGTCAACTTCATTCAATATAATTTACATTATTTTTCAAGTAGCTTCGTAGGATTCCTTGCGATTTTTTGCACGTACAGTTTCACAGCAGGGAAAAGGAGAGAGAGAGAGAGAGAGAAAGAGAAAGAGAGAGAGAGAGAGTGAGCAAGATTCCCTACCCTCCCTTCCCCCTCTCCTTCTCTCTCTGTTTTTTAAACAAAAAAAGAAGAAGAAGTAAAAACAGGGGAGGCAGAACAGATGCTTAAAATAGATTTCTAAAAATCACTGTAAGCCAAAGTTAGAAATGTAATTAACACCTATTTATAAAGAATAATTAAAGTTGGGCTGGCCACAAAGAACAGCAAAGATAATCAAGGTCCTGTGCCCCCCTCCCTTTTTACACTGTTTGCAGTGTGTTCTCATGATAGCCACCTGCTCCCGACTCGGCTTTTCCTCTGTTCGTTTCCCCGGCAACCTTTCATTGGGTTTTCCTCCCAGCTATCGCTTTCAGTTGGGCTGCTCGGTCTAATCTTATTTGTTTTACACCCATCAAAACAAGCAGCCAGACAAAGGCAATCCTCTAAGAATGGGGAAAAGACCACAGCTTTGTTATAACATCTATGCAGAGCGAAAAGTCCTCCCCAGGCTTTTCTAGTGAGAAATAAGTGAGATGGATATGAATTCACAGCCTCTCCCCACACCCAGTTTTGAAACCACACGAAAGATACTGCTGGTAAAAATTCAAAGTCAAAGTGAGCACTCGCGGCATCTGATCTTGCCATTTTGTGCCGTATCTTCAGGGTCAACATCAGGCGAGGAGTGACACGCAAGGAGTTTCCTTGCTGCTGCTGCTTCCTTTTTTTCCCTCTCTTCAGAAAAAGATGCTAAAAATAGATTTACTACTTTGGCAGACAGGTTTTCCATTTCCCCTTCCACATCCAAAAGTCCTGTTTCACAATGCATCTGCTGGTACTGAACCTCACCTCCTCTACCCCTCATTCCTAGCCTTCCCCATCACTCCCAGCCGGAGACTGAAAAAGAAATGTGCCTTTAACTTTAACGGTCGTGCAATTCCATTGAAAGCTCACAGAGGCAGTGGACCCGCCAGCCAACAGCGGCCGTGACATTGTGATCGTCAAAAAAGACACCAACCTCGCTTGGCTAAAATGTGTGTTCTGTGGAAGAGGCAGCCTGAGTGCCTGGTGTGCATGCAGTGCCATCACACTTGGAGATGGATTCTGGTTTTCGGAAAAGAGAAATACTAATAAATGCACGCGCGCGTACACACACACACACACACACACACACACACACACACACGATCTGCACAGTGATTTACGATGCACAGTCCTCCGTCCTTACACACACACACATACACGCACACACACAATCGGCTGGAATCTCCACACTGCCTTCCTCTTTTCACTTACCATCTTCAAGCCATTCCACTCCATCTGTGATCAGAAGAAGATGGACCCTCACACAGTGTGTCAAAAGCGGAAAGAAACGTTATGTAAAAGCTGACATTCCTTCTTACAGAGCTGCTGCCCAGAGAAGGAAGCAACAACTCAACACGCCAGGCACCGCTACACATACAAGCCGCCTCCTCTTTTTTATGAGGTCATGACAGGAAACTCTTTGAAATACAAGATGCAGCATTTACTGAAGCCCAAATAAATCACTCTCTTTGCTGTTTTGACTGCGCAGCCCCCTGAAATACAACTGCCCATCTCAACGTTCAGTATCCAGGAGCTGCTGCCTCTCAAGGTTTAAATTCCCAGCACAGAAATGGAAAGACTCCTAACCCGGCTGCATCCACCTCCTGCCCCACAAAACCCAGGCTCGTAGACAAACCCCCTCTCCCTTCACAATGAGAAATCCCTTCTTTTGCCATTCTGGTCTCACGTAATATAACCTCTTTCAACAAACCAGCAGTTATTTCAGCCCACCTTCACCCCACCCATGCCTTTATGTTGAAGGGAAAACTGACAATGACCTGTTAAAAATGACAATCTATTTCCCCCCTGCTTCTCAATAAAAGGACCTACCCGCACTCTCTACACAAAGAGACAGTAAATGTAGGAATCAAACAGCAGCAGAGAACTAAACTCTTGGTCAAGGTGTAGATGCTTTTCTTCCCTCCAGCAGCACAAACCACAGATTATAAATCTAGTCATACCTACCATAACCATTCTTATTGGCAAATATTGGGTCTCGCAGAGCTTCGACTCTTCTCTTAAAATTTGCAAAGGTTTCAGAATATTTTTTTAGATGACTACTATTGTTTTATATTTTTAAAGATCCACAAAACACAATGTGGATGATTGTAAAGTAAATCAATTATTTTAGGGGGATGGGGGAGAGAAACAAAAACAAAAACAAAAAAAAAAGAAAGAAAAGAAAGAAAGAAAAGGAGCAGTGAGCTGAAACCCCTGATTCTAGGATGTAGATAAGAACAACTGAACAGAGCCTTGCTGAAATTGGCTCGAAGCTTCCCCTTTTTACATCCATTTATGGGACCATCTGTCAGCCGAAGGCAGGATCTGATTGGCTGGAGAAACGCAGGGAGGCGTTGCAACATCAGGTGCTATTTAAATTAGCTACTGCCAGATTGACGATGTTAATGATTTGGTGACCTCTACAACAACAGAGACCGGATTTCTGAACTGCTTCTTGTGTCTGGTAATTAAGGCTGGGCTGAAGCAACAACAGCCATACTTGTATTTTTACCTTTTCCCTCCTCCCAGCTCAAAAGTACTGTAACAAGTACAGGTCACTGGCAGCTAGTAAACCTTAACAGTGGGAGTGTCCTCCTTCTCCCTGTCCCGAGGGCTGCACCACCCCACCCCTCGGACAGAGGGCTTTTCCAGGATGGAATATTTTCTACCACCTTATCTTTCTCGACAGTTGCTTTCTAGCGAAATGCATATTTAATGATCTGCCTCTAGGCTTAAGGATACAACAAAAGCACTTCAATGTGCTAATACATCTACATTTTAACTTTATTTCCCGGCACTGCTGATTTTCAGTAAGCAATGCTCCTTCTGCAACTAACATGGCCAGTGTTTCAAAGGAATGCAAGTTTGAGAGTGTGCTTGCTCTATGAACTAGGCTCACAAAAGTTTGCTTCAGAAAACTCTTTCCCAATAAATGAAAAAGAGAAAAGCCGGGGGGGGGGGGGGGGCAGCTGCCAGCCTCTACCTTTCTGCCTTCTGTCTGAGCTTTTCAAAACAGAGAATGATGAATGATTTATTTAAATGAATTTATTTTTCAACTTGGATAGAGGCATGATCTGAATTTTTAAAAACCCATCCAAATGCACCCTCTCTTTGCTTTCCTGACCGCTATAGAGAAAGTTGAAACATGCATTTGACAACCATCTCATTTCATAACTGGTGCAAGTGCTCATCTTGCTTAACTGAACACGTGATGTTGCTTCTCTCCTTCAAACGATGTCTTTTTTTTCCTTTTTCTGTGGCCTCTTAAAAGACTTGCAAAGAGACATTTAGCAAGTGTGTGGGGATGTATAGAGTTTGTCTATCTTATACAATTCATAACCTCTACTCTACCAAGCCTCCGGCAGTACAGTATTTTGTTCTGGTTTGGTTTTTTTTAAGTGGCTTACCTGAGGAGTTTGTGCTCTACTTCTATCCAAAAGACTAACTTATCCCTATTTATCTAATTCATAACTTAATCATTTTGTTCCTCAATAAATACACAGAGGTAACAAATATTACTAAAGACAGAATTCAACATAATCTTTGGCTGGAGTTGACAGTGTGTTGAGACTGGGCAGAGTGAAAATACAGGTCAAAAATCATGCTATACTCTGGACTTCAAAGTCCAAGAATAAATGGGTCTGTGAAAATTTGTTTAAAAAGAAATAACTTTTATATTTTTAAAAAATGAAAACTATTCTCTACAAGCTACTGTGTCATGAACACACACACCTATACAACTCACATATATACACACACTTTTAAAAATACAGATACACCATAAAACAATATGTGTAGGGTACACTATATAAAGTATTAGATTTGAATATGAATAAATTCAGCTATTAGAAATAAAACTACATGAAAGAGAAAAGTGGAAATATTAGAATATAATCCCTTTAAGAGGAACAATACTAAATTTAGTAAACTTAAAATAATTTCCTTAGCAAATGTATAGAGTCCAATACGTCACAATAGTACTACCGTATCTAATGAACTGTGTACTCAGGATGATTCATAGGTTAAGTCTTCAAAAGAGCTCACCATACATACCCAGGGCAGGTACAGGTGCCCAAATCAGCAACAGAAACTCTGAGTGGGATTTCACCGGCATTAAATATTGTGAAAAGTAAACACGAACACCATGCTGACAAACACAAATAAAAACAGCTCACTTGGAACAAAATATTTACTTTGTATTTCTCTGCAGGTTATAAAAGTCGCAATTTCTTAAAACCCTTTTCTCCTATCTATACTAATCTGGGTACACTCAGTGACCCATAAATTAACATGAGGTGTACCAAAAGAAACTGGCCACTTTTCTGGAATAGGAACTCTACATTACAAGTATAAACAATTAGTTGGTTTTGCTAGGCTAAAATATCCGTGCATTTTGTATATTGATCACTTCTCTCAAAACCTCCACTCTGGAGTCTTTTAACAGAATCCTCAAACAAATGCACAAATGTCCTCAGAGGCCTTTTCTCTAAAGACAAAGGCAGAATCCTATTGTTGGGAAAAGTCAACCTTATGATTGCATTTCCAATAGTACCATTCATCTTTCAGAGTGAGGGGCTGACCGCTACATCAGTGGTGTGACATTTGCAAAGCAACAGATTCTCAATTTATTATCTCAAGAATCAGGCAGGCGAGTCTCCCAGTCATGCATGATTTTTTTTTTTTCCGCCACAATCCTCCACCACCACAGAAAGAAACTTGTCTCACTCAAGCAGCTAAGGCAACCTAAAAATGATATCCCAGAGCTGTGGGGCTGCTGCATCCCTCTTACCATAAATGAGCAGTTTCTTGACTCATTAATAACAATTTCCCTTAAAAGAGGTAATCTCGTATCAGTCAGCCCCTCACCACCATGCACACATCCCAAAGGTTGCAGATATCTCAGCATCAGTCGCCGGCAGCCAGCTTTCCCACACTGAGTCCAGATGGACTGTACCAGAAGCCAATTCAGCGTTAATAACTACCTACTCCGCGCAGTGGAGAAGCCTTACATGGCACAATGGGCTAGGAAACAGCAGCCGGCTGAAACTGCAAATAAAAAAGACAACCAAATTCTCCAAAAGCACCAAAAGGGAGGAACAGAAATGGAAGCGTGAATTGTATTTCCTTGACTTCCATGAGAAAAATAAAAGAGAGAGAGAGAGAGAGAGAAAGAAAGAAAGAAAAAGAATCCTTTAGAAACATGGGGGGAGGGGGTTGGGGGGGGATGAAGCAAGGGGAAAAACAAAACAAAAACCCCAAACAGATGCTGCCCAGAAAAAAGTGACAAAATATTACCTCATTATTTAACAAAGCAGCATTAAGCGTCCTGCTGATTTCAAACATCTTGCCACAGATTTTGTTTTAAGAGAAACAGATAGAATCCTTTGCAAAGCACTCCGTCTGCAAAGGGTTCTTCAATTTTCTTGCGCACCACGGAACAGTCAATATATTATTTCCCTAGAGTTCGCACATTAAAACCTCTAGTCAGTGAGCTGAATTTTCCCCTTATCTCACACACAGTAGACTCCTGTTATATGTACTGCTCTCTTTGCAAGAGCAGCCTGCCCCAAACATGGCTGGTGTTTAAACTACTCTTTAAAGTAACAGTTCACTATATAACCACCAGGTGGGTAGAGTGCACGGATTCAAATGAACCATCCTGAAAGATCGTGATTTTTTTTCCCCCTTTGAAATAGCTTTTGGGTATAGGATGTGACATGAGAAATGCCAGCATTCTAACAGGCACCTTGTCTTGTCTCTCTCTCTGTGTGTGTATCTTGCCAAAATAAATTAATAAAATCCTTTCCCCAGACTTATAGGAAGAAAACAAAACAAAATACCCCCACCAATTCTAAAAAGAACTGTGAAGAATGAGGCACACACAAGCTTTGTTTCATTCAGCAAAGGATGAACAAGGAAAATCCAATCAATGCAGAGCAAGGGGGAAAATCAAACACTCCATGGAAATACTTTCCTTTAGAAAAAAGAGAAAAATATTGACTCATGTGATAAAAAAAACCCAATTCAAAAATATGCATATTGACAAAGCACCTATAAGATGGAGACAAGAGTTTAAGGGTGCAACTTTTCTTCTGAATAAACTATTAGGTTTATTGGATATGGTCTTTCATGATGGGAAATAACCAAAAGCTTCAAAGCAAAGACACTGAAAACAAAACAAAAAAACACGCAACAAAAATCCTAAGCATCTCTTCAAAAAAAAAAACACAGTTATACAAACAGTTATAAACAACCACAAGAGCTAACGGATCACATATCTCTCCCCGCCGCTGTTCTTTTCCCCTGAGATCAGCCTCGAAGTGGGACATTGCTGTGGTGAACTATTTTGGATGTATAGCTAACTTGGTGTCTCCTTCGTACATTTCTATTCCGATTAATCTGCTCCTCTGCCAGAAACAAATAGAATGTCCCAGGTTGAAAGCCCCAGGTGATGGAGGGGGATGCTGAAAAGATAAAGAAACACCTGAACAAAAATAAATCTCATCACTTATATTGTTATAGGGCCTGATTTTAAGGAGGATTTTATTACTTACAGAGCATG